CCCCAAAACCCCAAAACCCCAAAACCCCAAAACCCCAAAACCCCTAAAATTTTATTTTAAATTGAATTTACTAATGGCCAAAAATACATATGGTATTTCGAATGAGATATACATAAATTATAACAAAGGAGACATCCTCCTGCACGTTGATGACCTAGACACCTATTTTAAAGGCCCTCAGATCCAGTTTATAATCCTTAAGGGCAAAGCTAAGGTTTATTTTGATAAGCCAGGAGCAAAATTCACACCAATAAAACTACTTAAAAGTGGAACACCTGAAGATCTAGGTATAGACAGACTTGATCCGATTTCCTTCGGTGAGCTTGACCATTTCGGAGATTTCAGAAAAATGCTTGAGAAAAACACAACTGTCAAGGAATTTTATTGCATTGGTAAGATCTTTGTATTACTTGCTATATTACATACAGTAGTCAAACTACACAGAATTAGTTATTTCTGCCAAAGCGCTGTTTTAACTCCTTTATAGCAACCGAAAAATCCAGAATAATCAAATGAAGCCCTGATAAATGTGAAGATTATTTAAGAATTGTTCGGAGCAGCCATTATCAAATGGAGCAACTCGAGTTTTTGAGCAAGGCAATTCCTGGTCTTGATAAGATAAGTGCAGCTGCTAGGAATAAGGTCAGTAGCTGCTTTAAGGAAAGAACCTTCATGCCACGCATGAAGCTTATTTCTGAAGGTAAAATTAACGACTATGCTTATATCATCAAGTCTGGCACATGAGCTTTGGTCAGTAGTAAAAATCCTCTTTCAAGGAGAATATCAGGTATTATTTTGGAAAATATTGTATAGCTGCTGAGAAAGCTATAAAGCTCATTTCTATCAAAGGCTATATTTCTGAGACTACAAGTACCTTCCAACTTGGATTATGTGGGACTTATGATTGGGTAGGAGAAGACATTTTAATATTAAATGACCTGCCCTTTCCATTCTCTATAATAGCAAAGACCCAAGTAGTTGCTCTAAGAATTTCAAAGCATGATTTGTTCAATAGGATACCCTATGAATTTAAGAATAATTTAGAAGAGCAATCTAAGAATAGAAATAAATGGCTTCAAAATAGAGTGAAGGCAATAACCAACACTTCTCAAATTATTTACAGGCAGGATCCAAAGCAGGGTGTATATGACACTGTAATGAATCAGTTAGTCTCTCAATACCCACAAGCAACTTCAAATGCTGTAAAGAGCTTTACTAGACATCACATCAGCATGACTGGGGCCGAAAACAGAGGGAAAATAATTAAAAGTGTGTCAATGAACCATAGAAAGTCCGAAGCTCCGGTCCTAACAAACAGAAGAAAGAGGTGAATTTTCACTTCGTCCTATGGAACTCAAGCCCCAAAGACCAGCCATAAAAGAAGAGTATCATATTTTAGGAAAGACAAGAAAATGCTTCCTTTGGCTGCTTCTTTCAGTGGAGTTCAAAGAATGTACACAAAAGCTGCGAAAGCAAGGAAAAATCATTATATTAACCCTTATTAATAGTTTTGGTTTAATTATAGCAAAATGGGGTTTTGGGGTTTTGGGGTTTTGGGGTTTTGGGG